ACACTGAACTGCATTCAGAAACAAACTGGCAACCAATGCACCTCTCTCAAAATAGGTGTGTTAATTGGGAGGCACTTGTTACAACTATTACATGATGGGCTAGCTGTAGCTTCCAGAGGGTCTGCAGCCCCAGGTAGAGGACACTGCATGAATCTGAGAGTTGATCCAAGAGTGGATCAACAATAAGCAGGGCCTCCTGATTCAGAAACAGCTGCAAGTGGTGCACAAAATAGAGTTGTGCAAAGCCCCCCACCCCAACTATACTCTTTAGATGCTTGTCTAATTACCAATCTCATTCATTGTGAGACAAGTGGAGAAATTCTATACAAAATGACATATTTTTCCAATGGTTTCTCTGGTAGGAACCCAAGCCATTATTTTTGGCATATTATATGAACTAAGTCATTTCATGAAATAACATAGGGCGCTCATCTGTTAGGGCATTAGTGTGATTTTTTTTTAACAAACCGAAAATGTAGCATGATGTTTAGACATACCCTGTTAACTTTGCATTGTGCAAGCAGAGACTCATGCACATGAAGTACATGCATGGCATCCTTCAAGACAGGAGTGATGTTAACATGAACTTCCCAAAGAATGTGCAACCACCAGGTACTTTTTCCTTAGCTGTTTGTTTAGTCCAGAACTCAACATGACTCCTTAACAGAATACAATAGAAGATGTTCCACCTATTAACTAGCCAGCCTTTGATAGCTGGTGGCTATTAGCTATAAGCTTTTGGAGGGAGTGAAAGATACAAAACAAGTATTTTGATTTCATTTCTCATGAAAAATATTGTCTAAATGTCAGGGATTTTATGCACATGCTACTTACTCTCGGTGATGGCAGTAGCTAATTAAAGCTGCTTGAAAGGCCAGCTCCGTGCATGGCCATTTCTTCTGTGCTTGAATTGGATATTTCTTTAAACAGATACATATAGCAAAAGTGCAAACCTCCCTTTCCACAAGGAATATGACCCAGTAAAAGACTGTCCCCTAGAGTTTTTACACACTTAGGGAAATTAGGAAATGGGACATTATGCAAACATTGGATACAATATCCAAGCCCTGTTGCGTTTGCTGTTTATGGAGAAGGATGCCCATTAACACTATTTTCCACTTTCTTTTCTCCCAAAAGGATGCCTAAGGCTGGAAAAGTAGATCTAAGCATCCTCCAATCCTTTCTCACTGCTGATCTAGACATTCTTGCAGCACTGAAAACGCTCAGCGCAATTTCCCTCCTGCAGTAGAAATGCTTCAGGCAGGCAGTGAATTATAAACTCCCAGAATTAAATACAATCATCATTATCCATGTGGTCATTATGCACATCAGAGTAACCAACAATCTGTTAAGAAGAAACTTTACAATCGTCCAAATTTCAATTCACTGTACCTATATAAACAGCACCCTCCTAAAGATGACAATGAGATGGACACACACACTCTGATGCCGACCGAGCAGGAGGACGCCCTCAAAATACATGGTGAAGAACATTAATGGAAGACTTAAAGACTCAAAAAATCACATAGGAAGACACTGAAGTACTCGCCCCAAATCCAAAATGCTGGAGATCCCTTGCTGCCTGATATGCTACATAGTGTGGGAGGATCTAATGCTAATGCTAAATGCAAACAGACAGAGCAAGATGTTTCTCTCCTAGGCGCAAAGAAAAATCTGCTGTGAACTCCTTTTGGTGTCAGGAAGGGCATCCGGCCAGTAAACACTCAGTTCTATCAAGTCATCCTGACTCTACCCCAAATTAAGAGATTACAGAGTTGTAAAAAGAGAGTTTTAAAAGGAGGAGCAAGGATGTGGGTGCAAAAAGTCCACAGAAGTGTGGAACCTAAATGAAATTCAAGATATATGTAACTCTTCCTTCCTTATTTTAATATTTCTCTCTTTTTTGTCTCACACACATCCAGACCAACAAGAAAGAGTGAAATATAAATGATCAAGCCCCACAAGATCATCTCCAGACTCAACAGGGCAACGTTCAGCATTATTCTGACCAGATATATGTGCAAAATCACATGGCTATACCAAAATTAATCATATTGTCTGCCACTTCTCTTTCATACTCTTTATTTGGCACCAAACAAATTGACTGAAAAAGACATTACACCAATAGCAAACCAAACCCATCCTTCATTAACCAAGCTGATGAAATCTCATAGTCTCATTTGCTTATGCCTAGCCATTTGCCTAACACATGCTGTGCTCTCTTTGTGAAAAACAATTGAGCTGAATGAGCACCTTGCGTTCCATGGAGAACCTTGCGTAACATAGAGCCAAATAATTTTGAAAATGTTTGGGGGGGGAGGAATCAAATATAAATACTAAGTCAACTGTGATGCCAAAATACAGATCCTGTTTCTAGATTTCCAGGAGCTGTAAAGTCAACAAAGACAAGCAACAGATGGTAGATTGTTTATGGATTCAGTGTAACCAACTAGGGACCTTTAGGCAGCCCAGTTCAGACAAATCATTGTGTATTTGTCCACTCCCACATGCACATCCTCCAAACCTTGTGAAACTAGTTCAAAACTTCCGTACCACATTCTCTATATGCATCTTTAATGATCACCCGGTTACATATTAGCACAAGCGTTGCAACCTCAGGATGCCATCAAGCACGTTAGCAAACATCAAGCAAGTTTTCCTACAGGTCATCCCATTAAAGTCTTTTTTTTTTTTAATCACTGGAAAAACCTAAAAGCAAGAGATCGTGCTTGGCTCTTCTCTCCTGCTTCTGCTAAAGCAACCAAGGAAGGAACGGTGCCTGCTTCCCGCTGCAGAACCCAGCATCCTGTCAAAACCTTTGGTCCTCAAACATGCATAAAATCCATTTCTTCTCTCTGTGTGTCAGTAACTCAAGGGAAGAAGAGCAGGGATGGCTTTCCCTTTCCATCTGAGCTACAGCCAGCATTCTCTGCATCAGAAGGCTGTTGCCAGGGAAATGGGATGAATTTTAGAAGGGAAAGCAAGGCTGGGGAGCAGCTCCTTTCAGGTGCAGAGGGAGAGGAGGAGGACTTGGATGAGTAGAGGGGACAATAGAGTAGAGTAGAGTAGAGGCTAATATCTGGTCTCTTCGCGAAGGGGAAGCCGTTTCTACACACACCACAGACTCACAATTGCCGCAGCGAACACCTGGCACAGAAGTCAAGGCTGGCTGGCTGACTTGCCTTAGGAGGAAATGAACAAGCGGTCCTTTCCCCATCTCACTCTGCTAACGTCAGCCTGGGATTTGCATGGCACAAACAGGTGCCCACCTTCAAATTGGGCACCCATTGGTCAACGGGGGCCGACCCGCTGTGCATAAAACTGCCCTGCCAGCTTCCCGGCTAAGGCCGATGCCCACTCAGTTGCTTCCAGAGGGTTAAACACCATCTCCCCCTGGCTGCCAACTCAAGTTTATTCCCACCTCCATAACACGGTTTGGAAATGTAAGCGAGGGTTATTTTTAGCCTCCTTCAAATATATAGAAAGAGAGATTGAGGGAGGGAGGGGGGAGAGAGAGAGAGAGAGAGAGAGAGAAAGCCTTCCCTGTTGGTATTCTATAGGGATGCTCAGTGCTTCCTCAGCCCCCCCCCCATGCCAAGCATGCACACCATACTAAATGCCATGCCAGAAATAGCTCTGCAAAGTTTAATTGCAATTCCCCACCTCACCCCACCCCCACCCGCCACTCAAGCTTCAGAGCTAATCTCACAGAAGTAGGCGCAGGGTCTAAATGGCTGGATGATGCTAAAGAGCCTTGTCTCCACCTGCTAACAAGGGAAGCATCTTTGCCTTCTGTGGATGGGCAAAGCTGGTCCCTGGCATGTTCTCAGGCATCAGTTCAGTGTGATTACAACCAGGCCCCAATCTCAATATCTCTCTCCCTACCCCCCCTCTCTCTGCCCAAATTAACTTGCTGGCATACAAACATGCCCCAAGGGGAAAGAGTTACTCATGTTTATAGCCTGTGGCTCACACTGGGTCAGGGAAGAGGCAGTGGGCAAAGGGACCAGGCAACCTACTCCTGGAGCAAGCCTAGTGGATGGCAAGGGGGGTAGGGGTGGAGAGAGCAGATAAGCCACGGAGGGGGCCAGCCCTCCCCTAGCCTAGGGAAAAGCTCCAGCAGGCTCATCCAAGAAATCCTTAGAGCCAGAGGGAGGAAATCTCGGGCAGGACACCCACGCCGATCGAAACGGCAAAGGCTCCCGGGAGCATTTGTAGGCAGAAAAAGCAAGCAAAGGTACCCTTTGCGCTTCTTCCTCTTCCTCACCACCGCACAACGCATCTTCTCTCTCTCTCTCTCTCTCTCTCCCTCCCTCCCCCCTTCTCTCTTTCTGCTTTCATTCATTCATTAATCCGGTCCCAGCGCCCACACACACACGCACACACACACAAACTATTTCTATCTGGCTCTGCCACCTCCGGACTTGGCGCCCTCGCCTGGCTCGGCTTCTTCGGACCCCATCGCTCCTGGCAACAGCGGCGCAGAGCAACCTAAACTCTCCCGAAGAAGAAGCCTTCGCTCGCACTTCCTCGGCGGAGGAACCGGTGGGGTGGAGGGGTGGGGTGGGGGGGTTAGAGATGCCGGAGAGGGAAAAGGCGGTGGCAGAGGCGGCAGCTAAGCAGGATCCGAGCGCGCTCCTGCGGGAATCGCGAAACATTCCCCCCCCCCAAGTTAGCAAACCGGCTTCTGGATCAGGGAAGAGTGGAGTGGAGGGGGGGGAGGGGGAAGGGGAAGCTGCTGCTCCTCTTGGGTACCGTACTGTTGCGCGCCGCCGGGGACGGAGAGAAAGTGGGGGGTCAGTTGGGAGCTTAGCCCAAGAAGGAAGCTTTGAGGAAAGGGGGGGGAGGTAGCAGGGGAGGGGGGGCTGCATGCTTACAAGGACATCACGATTTTTTTCCTGGGGGGGGGAGGGAAACAGCAGGAGGGGGGAATAGACACACATACACAGAGAGAGACAGACCCACACAAAAAAAAGAAGGAAAGCCGCGGCTGCACTCACCGTAGACGCCTTGTCCGGAGATGCCCTCCAGCAGCACGGTGAGCAGCCACACGACCCCGTAGGCTAAATCCATCTTGGGGGAAGCAGCCACATATCCAGGCGAAGGGGACCCGGAGGGACTGGGAAGGGGAAGGGGAAGGGAAAGGGAAGGGAGGGAGGGGGGCAAATGGAGGGAAGGAGCTGAACCACGCTCGCTCGCCGGCTCGGCCACGGCCCGGTCGCCGCTTGGGAAGAGAAGAGAAGAGGAAGAGCCGCCACCACCACCACCCCCCACCCCCAGCCAGCAGTAAAGCCGAGTCCGGTTAGAAAACAGAGGCTGCAGCGGCGTCCTTGCGCGGCGCGCTTTGCTGGGCGAGCGCCTCGGCGGCAGCGGGGAGCTCCGAAGCCATAGCGGGAGCACCCCCACCCCCCACCCCCAGCACGCGCACAACCACAACCACACACGCACACACACTCTCACACTCTCACACACACACTCAGGCCTGCGGGAAGAAGATCTGCTCAGATCCTTCCGGAGCGCTTTTGCTGCCGGTTGATGCCGCGGCGGCTGCGGCTGGGGAGTGGGGAGTGGAGGGGGGGGGCGGCCAACTTGCCTGGCTGGCTTGATCGGTTTGGCTGACAGGGTTGGGCAGGGAAGGCAAAAAAAAAAAAAAAGGGAAAGGGAAAGGGAAGGGAAGCGTGCCCAGAGCGGGGGGCGGCAGCTGCGGGGCTTGCGCGCCGCGGTCACGTTGGACTCTACGTGCTCCGTGCCGGCCCTGCCAGGCGGCCGAGGCAGCACCGAGCCGGCGACGTCAACTGCGCGCCGCCGCCGCCGCCCCTTCTTCCCTGTGGTTTTTTTTTTTTTCCCCTTCCTTCCCCTCCGCTTCTCCTCCCCTCCTCACCACGGAGCGCGGTGCAATGGGAGGCGCCGCGCTTCCCTCGCTCTTCCTCCTCTTCCCCTCCCCCCCCCACCCGGGTCCCTCTCAGGTGGCCCGCTTTAGGCGAGCTCTCCGGCAGGTGTGCCAACTTTGGGGAAGCACTGCGCTCTTCGCCTGGAGGTCGGGGCGGGTCTTCGGGTCAGGTCTCCTCCCCACCCACCCCCACCTCCCCCGCCCCGCCTCGCTTTTGAGTTCCCATCTGGGTTGGCCCGTTTCTTCTTTCGGACTCGCCCCCCAAAAAAGCGCGGGAGGGTTGGTGGGGAACAAGCGAAAAGAAGCCAGCCGTGTGCGGGGGTGGGGGTGACGCTCATCCCCTTAGAACAGTGTTTCTCAACCTTGGTAGCTTTTTTTTTCTTCTTTAATTTATATGCCGCCCTTCTCCGGAGACTCAGGGCTCTGACTGGCCCCGCCCCCATCTATTCTCTGCTGATCGGGAGGAAATGGGGATTTTGCAGTAACCTTCCCCTGGAGTGGGGTGGGAATGGAGATTTTACAGTATCCTTCCCCTGCCACGCCCACCAAGTCATGCCACGCCCACCAAGCCACACCCACAGAACCGGTAGTAAAAAAAATTGAAACCCATCACTGCGACACATGATTTATTTTATACCATTTTAGGAAAGGCAGCTAAGAAGTTTGATATGTTATTCATGATACGTGAATGACCAGCACATTCTGGTCCTAAGCAGTGTGCTTTTCTTCCTCTTAACAAAGAAAACAGGGGAGCTGAAATATGGGGTAGGCAGCATACTGAAACCTTTCCCAAGGTAGGGCCCTCCAGATGCATTCGATTACAGTACCAGTCATTTCAATAAGCATACATGCAAATTGTTGGGGATGAACAGTAATCCATCATGTATGGAGAGCACCAGATTAGGGAAATCTGGCTGATACCAGCAGGAAGTTCTCACCTTGAAACTCATCTATATGGAAAACATGATGAGATTCTCAATCTTCCAAGCAGCTTTTAATGCATTGGAGAAAGATCCCAACTATAGTAGTTGGCAGGACAGCTCTCATATCATTGTGTTCCATGATAAGATAATTCCTTCATCTTGAACAAGACTCTTTGCTATCAAGCAGAGTCTCTCTGCCTCCTCCTCCTCCTCCTCCTCCTCCTCCTCCTCCTCCTCCTCTTCCTCCTCTGTCTCCATTCAGAAACCTGGAAGTTGGCTTAGACAATTATTTTCTTTCAAGCCCACTGGTTATGTAGGTTCTTCTTAAAGCTTTGCTGAAAACCATCAACAAGTTAAATACCCTCAGTGGACCATTTTGGGTGGATGGGTGCTGATTTTTGTGTGGCATAAAATTCTCTAGATGGGTTCACACACTGCAGGAAGCCACAATATAGTCTGTTGAGAAGATATATGTCATGTATAAATCATGGTGCATGGCAAAGCGGACAATCTAAAACCCATATCTGCCAGCATCCAGCTGTGGTATTCAAATCGGGCAAAACAACTTATTTGGAGGCAGTGGTTTGAGAGTTGTTAGCATAAATCTTTAACAAATAGACAGCATACAAAAGGGAACGCTAAGATTATTCTAGGGGAAATATACCAAGTTGTAATATGATATTGTTGTATGGGTAATCTACAATTAGATTCACAGTCAAAGACTGGTGAAAACTTAATTCAAATCATAACCAAGGACCTAAGAATTAAGAATAGAATAGAATAGAATCAAATCAAATCGAACATAACAGAATAGAACAGAATAATAATAGAGTTGGAGGTCTTCTATAATAATAGACCTTGGAGGCCTTCTAGTCCAATCCCCTGCTTGAGCAGGAGACCCTGGCCAAATGGTTGTCCAGTCACTTTTTGAAAGCCTCCAGTGATTGAGCACCCAGAACTTCTGAAGGCAAACTATTCCGTTGGTTGATTGCCCTTACTGTTAGGAAACTTCTCCTTACTTCTAGGTTGCTTCTCATCTTGGTTAGGTTTCAACCATTGTAGCTTTTGAGGATCTACACAATTCTAAGCAGGGTACTTGTTTGGAAAATTAGGTGTTCAGATCAGATGAATTCAAAATATCCAAATATTGAGGGAGTCCTTTAGGTAGTGATCCAGGAGCTATAATCACAATTGGTTATTGTTATCATTATTACGGTTAGACGCACAATCAGCCAGTTTAGACTGATTTGACATTTTGTCCACCTATTGAAGATGCTGTTGTTTGGTGGTGTTAAAGGTATTGTTACAGGATATAAGCTATTCCAAGTAAAGTGATTTAGACAATGTTGGGGATGTTCAAATGGTGCTCCAGATGTTTTGGAATTGTCAGCCAGAAAGATGCTCAAGTATTTGTGGTGATCATCTCCATTCAGACTCTTTATATTATTTCCATAGGTCATTGATTCCTTATTGATTCACTATTTTTTTTTTGATAATGATGATGATCATGATCCCCCAAAGAAAGCTTAGACAGAAGGAAAAGATACCCACACACCCTCATATGTCTCCATTCTTATTTAATTTAATTTAATTCTTCCTGTTTTAAAGGTAAATCAAAAGGACACTATTCAGACTATTCCAGGAATAACTTCTGATCCTTGAGATCCCATAATGTCATCTCTGTTCAACAGCTGAGTTTATACATGAAACCACTGCAATGCTTATTTGTTCTGAGGTCCTGCAGCTTTGTGAAGTATATAGTGTGGACTGTTTGCCACTTGCAGAAAATTTTCCACCTTCATTCTCCTGGCTCCTAGGCTTCAGACCCCAAAAATGGTCTTCAAAAGGGGAAGAAATTGATAATTTCCATTGCCCTCCCCCAGAAACCACTGGGATTGTTTTCCAGAGGATTAGATGAATGTAATGTGAAGTAAGGGTACATAAGGAGAGATGCAAATACTTTATTTTCCTTTAAAGTGTGAAATGGTGATGAGGTAGCCGTTATCTTGCTTTGTTTTTGTTTTCTGTGCATGTGAGTTGTTGCACAGCTTGTGACAGCTCATAATTTGTAGATTGAATATACCCAATTAAGAGACAGCAAACTGCCAAGCAAATGGACCTTGTCTAAGAGATGGCAGAAGAGGTTGGGAGAGCATCTTTAGCCAGGATAATTTGTGCAACCACCATGGGACAACAGGCCCATTGGTTCATAATTTGTACATGCTATAGTCACTGTTAGAGCTAGTTTAGTCCAGTATTTAGGGGCTGGACTAGTTGCAAGAAAAGCTAAATTCTAGGAGGGTTTGGAAACTGGCTGGGTGTCTTTGGGCCAGTTGATCTCTCACACACTTAGGAAGGAGGTCGGGGCAAACCACTTCTGAAAAAGTTGCCAAGAGAACTACATATATTTGTCTATTTAGTTACAAGAAGGCAAGATTGATTTGAAGGCACAGGATAAATAATTGACATAAAGATATTCTGTAGGGCCCTGGTAGAAACCACAATAACATCTTGTCCAACGTGTTGTTATTGAGTGCATGGCACACATTATGCAATGTGGGTCAATTGCATTAGCTGACTATACTTCTTATCATGTACATGTTGATGGAATCATTATGTATGTGATATTGTAATAGTTCATACAGCACATCACATAATCCTCTGTAGAGTGTTATGTAAAAGGAATACCAGGAGTGTCCTGTCCCATGAAAAGTAGATTTAATAAAATTTATCACTTGGTGAGTGTCAATATACTACAGTGGTGGTCCCCAACCTTTATGGCTTACTGCTCACAGGGCTTGGTTTTGAATAGACCACGGCCCAGTAGTGGGCTGCAACCCTGGGGATTGGGGACCCCTGTACTACTTGAAACCTAACTCTTAAGCAAATATTTTTTTGTCTCTATCTTTTTTGTTGTTAGTTGCGAACCATGTCCGACCCATCGTGACCCCCATAGACAATGTTCCTCCAGGCCTTCCTGTCCTCTACCATCATCTGGAATCCATTTAAGTTCACGCCTACTGCTTCAGTGACTCCATCCAGCCACCTCGTTCTCTGCCGTCCTATTCTTCTTTTGCCCTCAATCTTTCCCAGCATTAGGCTCTTCTCCAGTGAGTCCTTCCTTTTCATTAGGTGGCCAAATCGTGCACATTTCAGTCCCAACAGCATCAGCAGTTTGTGTTCCTTTACATACAAACATTTAATGGCATCCCTTTTTCCTGGGAACATTTCCAAGTGACCCCACTGTAGACACCACCAGCTCTCTTTCAGCATCTGCCTTCCACAGCTGGGATCCTGCTGGTTTCCCATATCCTTGCATATTCCATATGCAAGGAGTCAAGTCTAATAAGTTAATACTGTAGCAAGAAAGTTACATTGGGAATCTGTTTTTCCTCCCCAACCTCAAGAAAACAACTCCCCCCCCATCTCCGAATTGACTGTGTGAATCAAGACAAAGGATGGGTATCTTCATTACTGGCAAACCATCCCCCCTTTTTGAGTTCACATAAAAGCTATCTTAATATTTCCTTTGGACTAGTCTTTTCTCTTCTGATGAATAGCGGCAAAACCAGAAGCCAAGCAGAGGTCTTTCCTACGCCTGTGATTTTATTGATCTGTTACCTATTTAGTTTATGTTTTTTATTTAATCAATTTATGTAGCCGCCCTGCTCAGCACACAATTTGTTATTAAATATGCTGTCCGTTGTTCATGATCTGATGAATCAATATCAAAGAAAGTTGTGATGCAAAGGTACTGTTTGCCATTTCATACAGTAATTGCGTCATTTTGATGGGCTAACTTGCTCTTTTCAAATGGAGATGGCAGGGATCAACTCTTTGCAGTGCAGCTAGTCTGCCGTGGACTCAAACAATGTAGATCTCTTTCCATATTAAGTTTCTGCCCTTATCTCTCATTCAGCTTTTCTGCCAAATTAGATAAGCAAGATCTC